GTGGGGGCGATATGCTGACTCTGTAAACCGCTTAGAGAGGGCTGAAAGCCCTATGAAGCGGTATATAAGTCTAACTGCTATTACTATTGCTATTGAGCTAAAAATATTCTCTTTGATCAATATCAAATCCATCTTTTTTTTAAATATTGAATTTGATGTATTAAGGTCTGCACTTTTAAAGTTGGCAAACTATATGTGGGCTGTTCTTGCATAATTTGCCCTGCCGTTTAGCTCCTCTATGTTAGAAATGCAGACCTGTGGTTTGATAAGCAAAGCCGCTGTAATAGATACTCCTTGCTTAATGACCATTCAAGTAGAATATTTGCAGCTCAGAGTTGAAAAGAGGGTGATCTCTGAGCTTGGTTTGGTTATTTTCTTACAGACGCTTCATTACCCATACTAGGTAACAGCATCAGTGCTAGTAGGGAGAGAGGTTTGCTCTCAGTTTATATTCTAGTGGCTTGCCCTGTCAGTGTTAGTGACAGACTGCTTCAAAACCACTCCCACCAAAACCAGTGACCTAGATTGGACAGCCATTTGTCTGAAAGGGTATAGGATTTCCTGCCTGAGCAGGGGGTTGGACTAGAAGACCTCCAAGGTCCCTTCCAACTCTGTTATTCTGTTGAAATGAATGCTGTAAATCTTAAAAAGTGCTTTCTACAGAGGTAGTCATAACTTAACGACTGCGACATTTATTTAACAACCACCACATTTACTTAATGAGACCGCTGCATAAAAGATCATAAAATCAGGTGTCGTAATATGGTGACCCACTTAACGACTACATCGAATTACAACTGTTCAATTGCAGTCATCAGTCGAAGATCAACTGTATAAGCCAAACACAAATTGGGCATGCAACTCAATTGCAGTTCAGATTGGCTTCATTTAATGATATTATATTTGTTTGGCTTTTACATATATGTTATTAATATGTATTTAAATCTGTGCAGACCCTGAAACGAAAAGGCTTGGGCTTTGAAGGTGCAGAAATGGATCTGGTAGAAGCTTTGGACCCAGCTGAGAAACTGAGGCAGCTTGATGAAGGAATGGACCTTAGATTAGCCCGGCCAAAACTTAGTGTGAGTATTGCTTTGGATTGGGGAAAAAAACTACCTCCAGTTACAACAGTTCATTTAATGACTGAAGTTACAACATCATTGAAAAAAAGTGACTTATGACTGTGTTTCCCACTTATGACTGTTGCAGCATCTCCATGATCACAAATTCAGATGTTTGCAACTGGCCCATATTGATGATGGTTGCAGTGTCCCCAGGGTCCTGTCGTCACCTTTTGCGACCTTCTGACGGACAAAGTCAATGGGGGAAGCCAGATTCATTTAACAACTGTGCAACTAGCTTAACAACTCCAGTGATTCACGTAACAACCGTGGCAGGAAAGGTTGTAAAATGGGGCAAAGTTCACTAGGCTAGCAACAGAAATTTTGGGCTCAAATATGGTTGTACAGTAGTGCCCAAAATTGTGGAAACCTTTTGGGGAAAGTGTATTTTTGAGGTTTGGTGGCTAAGAACACTCCTTTCTTTGGAGTAGTACAGTGGTGGGATTCAGCCGGTTTGCACCTATTCGGGAGAACCGGTTGGTAACTTTCTAAGCAGTTCAGAGGACCGGTTGTTGGAAGAAATCTCATTTTGTTTTTTTCCACTTTACAGGGCTAATCCTGTAAGGAAGGCAGGAAGGAAACANAGTAGTTTGGAGAACCAGCAAATGCCACCTCAGGCTGGCCCTGCCCCATCTATTCTCTGCCTCCCAAGTTCCAGCCGATCGGGAGGAAATGGGGATTTTGCAGTATCCTTCCCCTACCATGCTCACCAAGCCACACCCACCAAGCCATGCCACATGTTTTACAACCTTTATTGCCACCGTTGTTAAGTGAATCATTGCAGTTGTTAAGTTAGTAACGCCGTTAAGTAAATCTTTTTCTTCCCCATGGACTTCGCTTGCCAGAAGGTTATAAAAAGGGATCACATGACCCATGGGGACACGGAAGCGGTTGTAAGTGTAAATAAATCCTTTTTTTTTCAGTGCCATTGTAGCTTTGAAGGGTCACTAAACGAAATGTTATAAAGCCGAGGACTACCTGTAGTTCGTTTTTGCTGTCAAAACTTTTTATAGTTATTCAAAAAGTTAAAATACAAAACTACAAAAGAAAAAAAGAGATTTTTTTAAAAACTAAAATAAAATAAAAATAAGCAAGACATTGCGAGAGGCGAAGGGAGTGTATTAAAAAAAAAGACACAAACACATACGCAGTGTTTTCCATCTCTGGGGCAGCAGAAAACTGTTCCAGCATGAAATTGTTGGTCCGTGTTGCCAGTTCTCTAGTCTGCCTCAGTTTCCAACTGGTGCCCTGTCTGTAAATTACTGTGACTGCTTCTAAAGAACCGAGATGGTTGCCTTTTGCAAATTAAATGTTTTCTGTCTGGGAATAGCCTGGGGGGGGGGGGCTTCCCCATGGGAAATTTTTTTTTTCAGTTTCCCCTTCCCATCACGGTCCTCGGATCAACGTCTCTCTTGAGTGCACCTTTTGGTGCCCTGCGTGGGTGATGACACATTGAGCCCTCCACGCTGGGGTCATGGGAAGTTGGTCACCGTTTCCTTCCATCTCTTTTAAAATTAGTTCTGATCAGCTAAATATAATCCGAGATGCTTAAGACGCTGAAGATAAGAGAGCAAAACAGCAGGGCAGGGAAATGAAAACGCACCAGCGCTTGGAATCCACCAATTGAATGGAAAAGTTCTCGAAACGGACAAGAGCCGATTTCGGATTCTCCGTGGTGCCCTTAGGGCTGGATTCTCAGATGCTGAAAGTGTAATGCAGGTAGTCCTCAATTTATGACCACAATTGAGCCCAGGATATCTGTTGTTCACGGAGACGTTCGTTAAATGGGTTTTGTTCCATTTTACAACCTTTCTTGCCTCCATTGCTAAGCAAATCACTGCAGTTGATAGTTTACTAAGCCGGTTGATAAGTGAATCCGGCTTGCCCATGGGCTTTGCTTGTCGGAAGGTCATAAGAGGGGATCACAGTCATAAATAGGCACCAGTTGCCAAGCACCCGAATTTCGATCGTGTGATTGTGAGGACACTGCAAAGGGCGTAACTGTGAAAACGGACGTATGTAACTTTTTTCAGTGCTGTCGTAACTTTGAATGGTCACTAAACGAACTGTCAAGGACTACCTGCATAGTAATATTTATAACATGCAGGTAGCCCTCTACCTATGACCACAGTTGAGCCCAATATTTCCGTTGCTAAACAAGACAGTTAGGTGAGTTTCGCCCCAGTTGTTAAATGAATCATTGCAGTTGTTAAGTGAATCATTGCAGTTGTTAAGCGAATCTAGCTCCCGCCATTGGGCTGGGAAGGTTACCTATGGTGATAACATGAGCCTGACAATTGTCACTGCCAGCTTTCTAAACTTTTTAAAAGTTTCTTTATGTACTCACCTATTTTAATGCAGCCCATTGAAATCATGGGTTTGTTTTTTTTGTCAACCTCAGCAACTTTATTATTATTTTTTTGGAAATATTTTTATTGTTTTAGATCATACATTTCCTATGTTGAGCAGTGTTCCCTCTAGGTGTCCAAGGTATTAACATACAAGCATACATACAAGCATATAAACATCATCATTGTCATTATAATTGTATATACATATACAATTATATGTGGTAATTTCTAGACAAATATGCGATAACTTCCATCCTATTATAACATATATTGTTTTCCATTATAGTATCGATTATATAACCACCAAAAATATTCACTCTTCTGTTTTTCTTTCTCCTATAAACCATATTTCACCTAATTCCTCTCCTCTAACCTCAATATCTGTCATTTAACCATCTATAGAATAGAATTCCCATGTTATGAAATAGTCCAAATCTTCTTTTCCTTTAATTTTTAGGGTTAAACTCTCCGTCTCTGCACATTCCCAGATTTTTTGATTATAATATCATCTGCAGGAGTTTCTGGGTTTTTTCAACATTGTGTATATGCGATCCTAGCTGCTGTTAGGATGTGTAGAACCAAATACCGTGTTTTCCCCAAAATAAGACAGGGTCTTATTTTCATTTGACACCCCCCCTAAAAAAAATAAGCACAGCCTTATTTTCGGGGAGGTCTTATTTTTCAGGTGTAGGAGGCGGTAAGCGTGGTCATCTCATGGCTGCTGGTGTGTTGCAATATTTTTGGGGAGGGCTTATTTTTTTGGGAGGGCTTATTTTAGCGCATGCGTTCAAAAGCCAATTGGACTTATTATCCGGGGAGGGCTTATTTTCGGGAAACAGGGTATGTGTTACACTTGTTATAATTTCCTGGAAGCATGCCCAACAAAAATGTCTCAGGTTTCGTTGCCTTATCATATTTTCCAGAAATCATGTTTTATGGATGGCAGAGGAATGGAAAAACTGACTGTAGTTGATTTTGAGGCTTGTTGTCTCAGAATGAGTCGGAGCATTAGTCTGGTGCCTCCAGAGCTGGAGTAATCCCAGGTTACAGACTAACTTTGCAATCGTGGTTTTCAAGTCATTTGAAATGGACTCCGTTGCTACGTGACTCCTTTCTCTCCCCCCCCCCCCTTTTAGGATCAGTAGTTCATGCAACAGCTAAAAATATCCCTTGGATTTCCATAAAATGTGAAAAATCTCCAGATTCACAGAAATAGGAGCTGTGATGATGAAGCTGGTTTGGAAGTAGATTCAACTCTGGCTTCAAATCTGGTTTTGCCCGTGTAAAAATTCCTGAATGCACAAATAACTCCCTTTTTTCCCCTCCATCTTAGGGAAGTTCCTTCATCTGCCCCGGACTGCAATGGGCCGAAAAAAGATACAGATTAGCCGAATCGTGGACCAACGAAACAGGCAGGTAAGTGCCTCAAAAGCAGAAGAGGACTAGCGATCAGACGGCCCTCTGGCCAGATTTTTCTGCTGTGGACTACAGCTCCCATCATCTGTAGCCAATCTACAGGTGGCTGGGAGCTGGAGAAATTTTTTTTACATTTAAAAAATCAAGTGGCTGTTAGATGACCACTATCTTAAAGAAGGGAGAGGAAAGGAGGGAGGAAGGAAAGAGGGGAAGGGAGGAATAAATAGGGAAGGAAGAAAAGGGGAAATGAAGTAAAGAGAGGAAGAAAGGAGGAAAAGAGGGGGAGGGGGAGGGAGGCAGGAAAGAAGGAAGGAAAAGAGGGAAAGGGAGGGGAGAGAGGAAGGGAAGGAAGAAAATGGGAAGGGAGGAAGGAGGGAAAATGGGGAAGGGAGAAAAGGGAAGGAAGGAAGAAAATGGGAAGGGAAGAAGGATGAAAAGGGGGAGGGAAAGAAGAAGGGAAGGGAGGAAAAGGGGAAGGAAGAGGGAGGGAGGAAGAAAAGAGGGGAAGGGGGAGGGAGGGAGGAAGGAAAAAGGGAAGGAAGGTAGAGAGAAAGGAAGGGAGGAGGAAAACGGAAAGGAAGGGAGGAGGAAAAGAGGGGAAGGAAAGGGGAGAGAGGGAGGAAGGAAAAAAAGGAAAGGGGCAAAGCCAAAAGGGAAGAGAGGAAAGATAAAGAAGAAGAAAAACGAGCTTTATCAGAAAGGAAAAGATTTTAAAAATTGCTGACTCATTACCCTTATTAAAGGAACTCCACCCACTTAATCACAAAAATTAAGTGACTTGGGGTAATACTTTTTTTTCTTAGCCCAGCTTTCTCCCAGGATTGTTTGGGGATAAAATGAGACATATCTCAAACTACATTTATCAGAGTCATTTTGTCTTTGGGAGTTAACTCGAGAATCAGAGTTTCTCCTGGCAGAGATGACAGTTATGTCAACAACCATCAGCAGCCTGGCTTAGCTGCACGGCGGAGAAATGCAGGCCCAAAGCTTTTTGAAGCAAAGGAAGAGCGGGAGAAAGAAGGACCTGAATAACATTACAGAGGGCTTATGGAGGAAGTAGAGTTGGGGTGTCAAACTCAATTTCATTGAAAGCTGCATCAGGGTTGTGTTTGACCTGGGGGGGGGCAGGGGTGTGTGGCCAGGGGAGGCATCAGAGCTGGTATTCAGCAGGTTCTGACCAATTCTGGAGAACCGGTAGTGGAAATTCTGAGTAGTTTAGAAAACCGGTAAATACCACCTCTGGCTGGCCTCGCCCCCATCTATTCTCTGCCTCCCAAGTCTCAGCTGATCGGGAGGGAATGGGGATTTTGCAGGATACTTCAGAGGTGGGTTTCTACCGGTTTGGACTGGTTTGGCTGAATAGGTAGTAACTCAGCCTGCCATGCCCCAAACCGGTTCTCTCGGCAGCGCCATAGACGCCGCCATCTTGTTTTTTGCTTCTGCACATGCGCAGAAGCATTTTTTTTAAAGTAGTGCACATCAAGCGCGGGNGATGCAACATCATTCGTGTTAGGAGCGCTTTTGGTGGCCCAAGTGCTCTGCCAGCAAAAACAGGCTCCTGAGCTCCATTTTCGGCTACCCCAGCCTCCTGCAACCCTCTGTCAGGCTCTCCCGAGCTCCATTTTCACTGGCAGAGGGTTGCGGGAGGCCGTGGCAGCTGAAAACAGAGCTCGGGAGCCGGTTTTTACTGGCAGAAGCACCGCGGACTGGTCCTTTGCTGTTTCTAGAGCGCTCCCGCGTTCCAGATCTAAGTACCCCATGGACCGTATCCGGCCCCTGGGCCTTGAGTTTGACACCTCTGCACTATTCTATACAAGCTGGGGTCTCTCTAATCAAGAGAACGCCTTGCCAGCCAACATATTGTACAGGTAGTCCTTGACTTACAGCCATGCGTTTAGCGATGATTCGAAGTTGCAACAACACTGGAAAAAGTGACTTACCACCATTTCTCACAGCAGCTTCCCCACGTCATGTGATCGAAATTACTTTTGTGCAGTGTTTATTAATGCACATCCGTGTATCTCGTGCAAAAGCACTTGATCAGAGCCATGGTGGCGCAGTGGTTAGAGTGCAGTACTGCAGGCTGCTTCTGTTGACTGCAATTTGGGAGTTCGAATCTCACCAGGCTCAAGGTTGACTCAGCCTTCCATCCTTCCCAGGTGGTTAAAATGAGGACCCAGATTGTTGGGGGCAATACGCTGACTCTATAAACCGCTTAGAGTAAAAGCACTGTGAAGCGGTATATAAGTCTAAGTGCTATTGCTATTTCCTGTTGGCAACAGGTATGTATTTATGACGGCTGCACGTACCGCGGGATTATGTGATCACATTACTAGGGTAATGAAAGTGATTGGGGGAGGCTGTATTAGTTTATTGACTTCATAATTCACTTAACAATTGCAGTGATTCACTTAATAACTGTGGCAACAAGGTTGTAAAATTGGGTGTGGCTCGCTTAACCACCTTGCTTAGCCAGAGAGATTCTGGTCTCAATTGTTGTTGTAAATCAAGGACTGCCTTTACAGGAAGTCCTCGACTTACAATAGTTCGGTTAGTGACCATTCAAAGTTACAACGGCACTGAAAAAATGTCACTTATGACCATTTCTCATAGTTACGATCTTTGCAGCTTTCCCAAGCTCACGTGATGAAAATTAAGATGCTTGGCAACTGGTTCATACTTATGACGGTTGCAGTGTCCCAGGGTCATGAGATCACCTTTTACGACCTTCTGACAAGCAAAGTCAGTGGGGAAACCAGATTCATTTCACAACCAGGCTAACTTAACTTATTAACTGCAGTGATTCACTTATCAACTGTGACAAGGAAAGTCATAAAATAGGGCAAAACTCACTTAACAAACGTCTCACTTAACAACATAAATTTTGGGTTCCATTGTGGTCATAACTCGAGGATTACCTGTACTGATGCTGCTCATATTGTATCCACAAGGAGGGATATGCAATGTCTTGATGCATACAGGCTGTTAGGATGCAGGTATGAATGATTTTAATAGGAATATTGAGGATCTCACCATACGAAATCAGTCTCGCCAAGCATAAGAATCTCCAGTTCCAAAACGGAGTCAGAAATTTGGAGAAAGATCAACTTTCCAAATTCTTGATTCAGATTGCACAACTCTGACTTAGCATCAGAAAGATTAGAAGCTTAATTGTTTCATATTGTTGGAAGAAATGTCCATCTGGGTTCAGTTCCAAGTGGGGAAAAAGACACTGGAAACGTGGAGGCGGCTTGGAAAGATGGTTTAATAATGGTGGACAGGACCACATGATTTGAGATCCTGGGCAAAAAGAGGAAAGAGATGCTGAGAGTGCTCTGGGTTTTATGCCCTCTCTGGGCTTTTGAATTTGAGCTTGTATTCTGATTGGTTGCCGGACTCCCATGGGGCCATGCAGGGGCAACTTTGTAGGTTGTGTTTGTGTCCCAGGCTTGGTTGAGCCTTGCTAGGTGATGATGTAATGAAGGGGCTTTGGGCCATTCCTCCTATGGCTCTGCCCGAAGGAGGTAGATCTTTGTTATGTAGAATAAACTGGCCTAGGCCTTAATGGCCCATTGAGAAAGGTGGGGCGGTGAGGTGAGTTTCTGCCTCCCTTTTAGGGGAAATATTCTGTCCTTTTAATATTTCCTAAAATATCTCTTTTTTTTTTCTAGGAGAGGGGTGGTGGGTGCTAACTTCCTACAATATCCATTATAAAAATAATCTCAAACCCAAATCCTATAGCTGAGAAATACGGCCTGCTCCCTTGTTTGGAGCAGGGATGCTTGGATCCATTAAAATCTATAATATTAATTTTAATTCCATAATTAGCCCTTGGCAGATGAGAAATCAGCGCTGCTTTCCGGTTTCCCTTAATGAGCTTTCTAGGGAAGATGTGGCTGATGAAACCTCTGGATTGTTTTTACATAAGATTTGCCAACCAATCAGGTCTCTACCCCGGTATTGTCTTCCTGGGTACAGAATGGAGCTAAAGCTTTATTCTCACAATTGCCTTCTAAGCCATGGCAAGTTCGGTTAAGTTCACCTTTTTTCTATACCTTCGATTGATTGGCTTATTCCTCAGCCTTTGTAAACGTTTCGATAGAGCCCCTACTTATCGTCTTTCTCTGTTTTCAGACATCCCTGGCTTTAAAAGCATCAAAACAGCTGAGACTCGTTCCCTTCCTCCTTTAACGGAAGCTGCATTGTGTAGGTGAGCGGTTTTCATTCGGGGCAGGAATGGGTCGACGTGTGGCCCCAGGGATGCAGGTAGTTCTCAGCTTCTGTTTTGCTGATCAGGATTGCTGAAAAACAACATGCCAGACGCTCCATTTTAGGGAGGAAAAAAACTACGACAGGGGTCAGCAACCCGAAGCCCTTTCATCTGAGGCTGAGGCTCCCTGTCAGTAGTCAGCTGTACAATTGATAGGGCTTTCGCCCACGTAACACCTATCCTCCGCGAGCTGCACTGGCTGCCTATTGGTCTTCGGATACGCTTCA